CACACCCACAGTTCACACCCACACCCACACCCCACCCACACCCACATTGTTGGATTGATTTTTGATGTACCTTTATGAATTCAAACTTGTCAATGTGATAAAGGTACCGAGATAGGCAACGACAAAAAAACACTCTTGTTGAGATGCAAATGTATTAAAAGCAAGAAAAGCAAGTTAGGACGACAATAATAAAATTCCATTAAAATATTTTGATTTCTTTGCCTTGTTTGTTATCAACGTAGCAGTTTTTGTTGATTTTTCGTGCTTCTCTTAGTGATATTTCAAGACTTAATCACCATGAGACAAAAAATTCAATAAACATTACGACTATTTTTTTCGTTCTTTGTTACTATTCCATTAAGAGAATAAGATTTGTATCTTCAATGTCTCTCTCTTTTCAATTCTAAGAAAAAAACAATACAAATGACAATTTTCATTATTTATTGCAGTTTAGGCGGATAATATTCATCTTTTTCAAGGAAAGTTTGCTTTCCTATTATGTTTTTTTATCGATATGAATTTATGTGTTGTTGAAAATATTTAAAGTAAACAAAATTTCTTTTTCATTTAGAGATATTTCAAATAAATATATAATATGAATTAAAATTAACTGTAACATAGTTAAAAGTGATTTTATTTTCATTCTATTAAAAGATTTGCAATTAATAGGTCTTGGTCTCTATCAGCAATGGAAACAAACGCCAGTCTTATTCACAATAAGCATTTGAAACATGGTTAGAAATGTATATGATAAGCACTATTAAAATCCTTTCTCAACGATAATCAGTTTTATCCAAGAATAAAGCTTTATGCTTACGTTTTCTATTCTAAGAAAATTTTTTGTGTAGCACCTACTTTTTATAACCATGGAACCTGGATATTATTAACGTCAGATATGATATGAAATGTTTTCAAACGTAAAAATATTACAAAAGCTTTCTTGTGTAGACTTAAATGATAAGGAAAATACACGTTGATAGATTTCACTAACTACAGTAAAAAATGAAAGGTAATTTCTCACGAGTTGTCTAATATTTAAGATTAAATAAAATTGATGTTCTATCCAAGTATATTCTTAGTGTTTCGCTGTGACTTACTATTACCTAGTCATCTATAAAGAAATACCTGAATAAATAAAAACTATTGTTTTCAACTAGATATTCCACTTTGCCTGTGCTTTTCTAGTAACTACAACAGTAGCATTACGTTAGTTACCTAAATAAAAACTAAAAGCAACGTGCCATTCTTAAATTCAACATAACACCACCAATCATCGACAACAAAATTTCTTCAAAATTCATATCTTCTCAATGTACACAAACTATGTAGTTCGATTTAACCATAAAATGTTATCAATCTTTCCTCTACCAAAGTTTATTTTGATCAACAATGAGGGTGTGGGTGTGGGTATAGATAAAGAAAAAGAACACACCCACA